GGCGGCTTGTTTCTCCGAATGTATTTATTCCAGTAGTAACGGCTCTCTGGTCTCGTTTCTTGGGCGACACAGTGGAGGACGAACCCGAGAAGGAGGGGGATGCGGAGGCGGCGGGGGAAGCGGCGGAGGCTTTGTCAAACTTGCAGGTGAAGAAGGAGGGAGAGAAGGAGGAGGGGTCCTCCGAGGGGACTCAGGAGCCGGATGCAGAGGCGAAGAGGGACTAGGGGGCGAAAGCGAGGGAGGAAAACACAGAGAGGCGGGCGCTAAGGCGGGCTGCAGCGCGGAGGCTATGATTGCAGGGAGGCGTGGCGTCGGGGAATGGAGGGCGGCGCGAACGTCGGGAGGCTGACGAGGGCGGCCTTTCCTAGCGAGTTTGTGCCTCCCATATTCCCATGGCGTTAAGGTGCGCATGGATAGTTAGACGGAGAAGGAAGGTTGGAGGGGCTGGAGGGGGAGGACGTGCGGGGCAGGGCTGATAGCAAGGAAGAGAAGGAGGGAGGGCCAAGGGGGTTGAGCCAGGTTGGAGTCAGCGGATAGCTAAAGGCACCTGGGGAGAAGAATTTAACATCTATCTGACTCATGGCAAGATCCTGGAGCTGTCCTGTTGGGCTAGCGGGCGGGGTCAGCACCCCAAAGAGGTTTCTCGCCCGCCGACAGGGAGGAACGGGAGGTGGCTGTCGGCAAGAGAATTGATAGGCGTGCACTCGTAGACAAAATAACAGCAAGTTTCCCGCACGTAGATTCAGTTTCTTTGGCAGTTTTGATTGCGATATTTTTCTCTAAAAACTTTGCCTACTAGCCCCTAAATTGTATGCTCGCCCGCGTTGCTGGGTATGATTGAGCGCAGTGAGTGTATGGACTCCTCCGGTGAGTGTATGGACTCCTCCAACGAGAAGCCCTAGGTTCAATCTGAGCGAAGTAGACACCTTTCGATGGTGCCTCTCTCTGTTAAGCAATATTTAGTGTTATGGCTTCAAGGGGCTTCAGGAACTTGGTCACTCGACAGTCGGGAAGGACTCTTCTCAGCTTTTCTCAGCAAAAAATGCCTGGCTATTCCGATGCTTGGCGAGTTGAGAAATCAGACAGCGGGGAACACATAATAACACACAAGTGCGGCCCTGCCGCGCAAAATGGTTGTACGGCCCGCGCGCCCTGCAGCCCAACGTGAGGGAGCTTTAGCGAGCTCACGGCGAGACTCGCGACCTGTATCATGACCCAGGCACGAGGAGACGCACGTATGTATGTATTGGAAGGTTGATGAGGCCATTTCAAGCCCACTTTCGACCTGGATGGCTGTCACTTGCCTCTACGTCTGGAAAGAGCTATTAGGAGCATCAATAATATAATACACCGGGACAACAGGATACGGGAAAGGGGCTGACTCGACCTCCCTTCTGACTTACAACACATTCCCTGACGCCTTGTACCACTCTTTGTCCACACAATAATCCAGAGCATGTTCCGCTTCCAAAGCTGTGCACGTCAGGCTGCGAGGAGAGCTTTTGTCTCGGCCGCAAGCATGGCCCCACGGGCTCATCAGGCTCCTCATTTCGTAGCTGCCGGCATCACGGGGGCAGGAACATGCCTCCTCCTAGCGCACTCCATGCCAGCCCAGGTGCGTTGTCGAAGCTTAAGATCCGTTACTGCTGAGACACAAACAGCACCAGAGATGGTATGGTCGAAACGAACGTAATGTGCGACGCACAGCTCAGATGAAATCGAGAGGGGGCATGTATGAGGCCTAAGCCGGCCCCTTTCACCTACTCGGCCGTTGTGAGTCGCGCACTTATTCGCCTGTCATTTCTTCTTTGGAATTCTATTGCACAATCACAGGCTGACGCCGCCCTTCCTGCCACTGATACCTCCTCCGCCTCCCCCTCTACCTCCTTCACCATCACTGCCCGCCTCTCCAAATCGGGCGCCTCAAAAGAGGAAAAAGCGAAGCCTTCCCAAAGCAGTAGCAGCAGTGAGCCGCACCCCGCGAGCCCGGAGGGCAGACCGCTCACCCCTGCAGGTGATATCGCCGCCGTGCTCTCCGAGATGGAGGAGGAGGACGAAGGAAGATACGACTCAGTAGAGCTGGAGGAGACAGAGTGCCCCCTCTGTCATTTTATGCGGGCAAGTCCATGCGGTGCCACCTGGGTGCGGTGGGAGAAGTGCATCCACTTCCACAAGAGTAAGGAGGAGGACTTCGTGGGGCCCTGCGCCCGTGTCACGCTGAAATTGGCCGAGTGCATCCAGCAGCATCAGAACGACTTCCCGCCGACGTTGAGGAATGCCTTGTTGGGAGGTGCGGATGTCGAAGAGGGCGAGGGGGATGAAGCGGAAGAGAAAGATGGCGCGAAAGGCGTGACGGAGGGGGGGGACAAAGACAGGGGAGAAGACATCCTGCAGTCGTCTTCCACTTCATCCACCGGCGGCAAGAGTGATAGGCTGAAGAAGAACTTCACGCTTCACGAGGACCACGAAGAGACTGATCAGTCGGAAGGTGACGAGCATCCGGTCAAGAGCGCATCCCCAGGAGCGTTACCTCCCTCCCGGTCCCCCAACGGGGCTGAGGAAGGAGAGAGCGAGGACGGAAATGCGGAGGGCCCGATAAAAAAGTAGACACTTGACCGAGGTATTCAGGCATCGTTTTATGTGCAGTATATTTTCAATCTTGATGTTTTGTTTTTTTCCTTACTTCCTGCCCTCGGAGCTCCTTATGCACCTTTCCCCCACAGTGTGAGCCATTAATCTCATAACAACACGGTATTGGGTACTTTCAGTAGCGCAGTGTATTAATGAGCGCCCTATCAAAATGAAACAAGGGTCTATGGCACGAGAAAGGGGCGCGGCGGTCTCGATACTTAGGAGTCGTGCGCCGTGCTCGACCTCGCTCGTCTTTCCTTCTGCCTCGCTTACGCCCTCGATTTGAGACCCTTAAGCCTTTCATGCCCGCACTTTCGAGGCTAATTCTGATTTTCCCTTCTGTTATCAATATTTTTTGTGCACCTATTCAGCTATGGGTGCGTTTAACATCCCCGTGATGTTTTTGGAGGCTTTACAATGGGATTCCTCCACGCCTCCCTTGCTGCTGTGCGTGCATTATGCCAGCCCTTCTCGTGCACTGACGCTCTCCGAATCAATTTAACAGGAGGAGTAGAAGGCCTGTTAAATTGGTGGGCCGCAGAGGGTGACTTTGCTTTGCGAAGTCCGTGCTCGCGACCTTGGCCTTGAACGTGCACTATGGCAGCTCGCGAAACCTCCCCCTTCCAAGCCGCAGATGCTCCCATTTGGAGACCGGAAATGGCGGTGCGGCAAAATCCGTACAGGTACCTGGACCATCAGAAAGGCACGATTGGCATCCTAGACATCCGGCTCATAGACGGCCGTGACCTGGACTCGACGGGAAGAGGCGAGTCCGGGCGGAGTGCGAGCGTCTCCCCTCAAGTCGTAATACGAGTCCCCGCCGAGGAGGCCAGATCCTCGGTGGTTCCCAGGAATGCCCACCCGTCCTGGCAAGAGCGCTTCACCATGAATTTGAAGAAAGGTGTGCTCCAAGAAGGTGCGCCAGTCTTGGTTGTCTTCCAGGCATTGGATGCCGCATCGTGGCGGAGCCCGCTGGGGGGAAGCAAGGGCCGCGACCTGGGCTCCGGCTCCTTGGACATTTTGCCCCTCCTGAACGGGTCGCGCGGTAGCCACGTGATGGACGAGTGGGTCTCGCTCAGTCCGGGGCCCGGGCGCCTGCACGTGGTGGTGGAGTACGAGCCCGTGGGCATGGTGCCGGAAATGGACGACGTGGTCTTCTTCGAGGCCTTCGCGCGCTCTCCTCGCTCCCTGGTCCTCCCCACGAACGAGCCCATGGTCGTGCGGGTGAGTGCTTGACAAGGGACAGAGAGCGGGGGCGGGCCTGTCGCCTCGTGG